AGATATTTAGTTCTTTTGGATATGTTGCCAAATCTACACCAATATAGACATATCTGTAGCTATTTTAGACATCTTTTTATATGCAAAAAATCTATGCTTTCATTGAAAGATCTTAAGTTTTTTAGGCATCTCTTTGTACATGTGGCCAAATCTACACTGATATACAGAGATCTTTAGTTCTTTTAGACGTATCTTTTTAATTGTAGCTAAATCTATACTGATATAGATAGATGTTTAATTATTATAGACATCTTTTTATATGTGGCCAAATCTATACTGATAAAGAGATATTTAGGTATTTAAAATATCTCTTTTTGATATGTAGCCACATTAACACTGAAATAGACAGATCTTTAGGTTTTTTAAACATGTCTTTTTGATATGTAGGCATATACTTATATACTCAGATCTTGAGTTATCATCGACATCTCTTTTAGATATGTAGGAAAATCTATACTGATATAGTTATTTTTAGCATATCGTTTTAATATGTAACCAAACTATACTGATATAGACAGATATTTAGTTATTTTGGGTGATTTTTTTCGATATATAGCTAAATCTAAACTGATATAGACAGATCTTCAGTTATCTTGAACATGTCTTTTTGATATGTAGCCAAATACATACTGATTTACACAGATCTTTAGTTTCAATATGTGTCTTTGACATGTAGAGAATTCTATAATTATATTGACAGATCTTTAGCTGTCTTGGACATGTCTTTTTATGTAGCCAAATCTATACTGATAGAAACAAACCTTTAGTTTTTTTAGAATCTCATATTGATACGTAGCGAAATTGATAATGATATTCACAGATCTATAGTTATTTTGGAAATCTTTTTTGACATGTAGCCAAATATATATTGATATAGACAGATCTGTAGTTACTTTTGACATCTCATTTTCATCTGTAGCCAAATAAATGCGATTTAGACATATATTAAGTTATTTTAGACATGTGTTTTGATATGTAGCGAAATCTACTGATAGAGACAGATCTGTAATAATTTTACATATCTTTTTAATACATAGCCAAATTTTTACTGATATAGACCTAAAAAATACTTTTGAACATGTCTTTCTTATATGTACTGATATAGACCTCTCTTTTTGAATGGTAAGCAAATTAATGCTGATATACACAGATCCTTAGTTATTTTAGACATCTCTTTTTGATATGTGGTCAAATCTATACTGATATTGGCAGATCTTTAGATCTCTTTTTATATGTAGTGAATTCTAAACTAATAGAGACATATCATTGCTGAGACAGACATATCTTTAGTTGTTTTAGACATCTCTTTTCAATAAGCAACCCAATCTATACTGGTATAGACAAATGATTAGTTATTTTAGACATGTCTTTTTATACGTAGCCATGTCTATACTGATATTTGCTGATATTTAATTATTTTGCCAAATATATGCTGACGTAATAGTTATTTTAGACATCTCTTTATTATATGTAGCCAAATCTATACCAATATAGACATATTTGTTTCTTTTAGACATCTCTTGCTGATATATTCCCAAATCTATTGTGATAAAGACTGCTCCTTAGTTATTTTAGACGTGTCTTTTTGGATATGTACCCAAATCTATCTTGAGTTGGACAGATCTCTGGTTATTTTAGACATGTCTTTTTCATATGCAGCCAAATCTATGCTGATATAGACAGATAGTTATTTTATATATCTCTTTTTGATGTGTAGCCAAATCCATACTGATATAAATAGATCTTAAGTTGTTTTAGACATCTCGTTTTATATGTAGCCAAATATTTTGTTATTTTAAACATCTATTGCCAAATCTATACTGATGTAGACAGATCTTGGTTATTTTAGACCTCTCTTTTTTATATACAGCCAAAGTTATCCTGATATAGACCGATGGTTAGCCTTTTTAGACATCTCTTTTTGATATGTAGCCAAATATATACTGATATAGACAGATATATAGTTATTTTAGACATTACTTTTTGACATGCAGCCACATTTATGCTGATATAGAGCTATCTTTTTGTTATTTTACACGTCTTTCTCATATGTAGCCAAATCTTTTTTTACCTTGACAGATCTTTAGCTAGTCAAGACGTATCTTTTATACATAGACAGATCTTTAGCTAGTCAAGACGTATATTTTTTTACATAGACAGATCTTTAGCTAGTCAAGACGTATCTTTTTGATATGTAGTCAAATCTATATTGATATAGACAGATGTTTAGTTATTTGAGGCATCTCATTTTGACATGTAGCGAAATCTATTCTGAAATCTATACTGATATAGAAAGATCTTTAGTTATTTTGGACATCTCTTTTAGATTAATTGCCAATTCTATACTGATAAAGACAGATCTTTAGTTATATAATCAGATCTTTACGGACAATCGTTATTTCTATAGTTGTGCGTTCGTTATATAATATGATTATTTGTAATATATTCGAGTTACGATGTCCAGCTGTGATGCTTACCATTCTATTCTTCATGAGCAATTGCAATTATAAAGTATGGATGCAAAAAGCCATGCAAAATATTATCAATAATTTACTCATTTTCTGCAATATGTCTCATTACCAGACCTAAATATAATTTTAGCAAACAACAAAGATTTATCAGTTCGTAAACAGGCATATTGCTCAGAATAACGTGTTTATCGGTTATGTCGACAGAAATATTCGTCTATTCGGACCTCTGCTTGAATACAAATAGTTCAGAAACAAATTGCTCCTTAGAAATTATTGGAACAAATATTCCACCCGGGAGATATGTTCATTCATCTTATTCAGAAACCGATCCTTAGTCTGGAGATTAATATTGCACAATTGTAGGATTCTAACAATCAAACGAATCCTTTTGGTCAGAAGATGAAACTGATGATAAAACTTTTAGTTGATTCGGTTGATCAACAACGAAAAAGTTTGTTAGCATTCCAACTCTCCTTGATAAGGTATAAATCACAGAAAAGAGGAATTGTCAACCAGAACCGTTCGAGTTTAAAAGGCTGGCCATTCGGTTGATATACAATATTAAACAATATTTAATACATTATACTGGAATTTAATGCATATAAACAATAACAACACCAAACATTATCAATGGTTACAATGACTTGACGTTTTGCAGCTTAACCTTCTTACGACCATAACGTTGAAATATAAGATCAACTAGATTATAAGATTAGACTGGTATGATTTATGTCTAACAGAGATGGATCCAATTATACTTTCTAATGGTTTGGGTCTAGCAAACTCTAGTGTTACGTATAATAAATACATATGTGGCACTCTAAAGTATGTCAGTCTGGTCAATGTGTTATTGCTCTATAATTTCATACTAAAAACAGTTAAGATAATTTTTGTTAAATGTACTGAAATATTAATCTCGTCAGAAAATTCCAGACAATAATGTTTGATCATTATTCGCTTTTACAAGGGTGGCCATGTAATAAATTGGATCAAGAAATGAGGATGTCAGGTCTGTCATAAGGAATGTCGGTATTACCATTTTGTTTACAAGACGCGGTCCTTTCATGGTGACATCAGAGTGCACGACATTAAATATGAGTTGCATTGGATCACATCTTTTGGTTGACCTCGTCCAAAAAGGTGCATGATGATCCAGATAATGCGAATAATTACCATTTCAAGGAGCCTGTAACAAATTCTAAACAATGGTGCCCATTAATAAAAAGACGTTCCTGGAAGCTTACATGATCCATGTGACTTTCTTTTTAGTATTTGATAATACCACGAATATGTTCTACTGCAGCGATTTATATATTAGATTCATTCCATTGCAAAAAAAATGGTTGTCATTTATTTTAGGATTATATGATTTTTCCCCATCCAGATGTTAGTTCGTCCCCACTATCTATCACAAAATGTACGCCTGATTCAAGATAAAAGGAGGCATTGAGAAAAGGTAGGAGAAGGTACTTAATTAAACTGGGGTGATTTACTTTACAGTACAATAATCGCTATGTCCAGATATCGACGGGAAAATTGACCATACCAAACTTGTATATATATATATATATATATATATATATATATATATATATATATATATATATATATATATATATATATATATATATATATATATATATATATATATATATATATATATATATATATATATGTATGTATGTATAAGAGCTACAATATAAAATTCATAGATACCTATAATTATATTTCCCTTGCAGTTTCAAAACATATATATATATATATATATATATATATATATATATATATATATATATATATATATATATATATATATATATATATATATATTCGCTACTTTAATATACGTGAGGTTATCAAAATGAATACATGTTATTAACATTGTACCAGTGTTGCTATCAGACAGCCAACCAAAAACGTCAGCCTATCAGAGTTAATGGATGCAATCGAAAACCAAAGGTTCTTTTGAATTTTATATCATACAAACACACAGACATATATATATATATATATATATATATATATATATATATATATATATATATATATATATATATATATATAATGTCCATGTGTTACCAGTGGTTTCCATTTGCCGTTTGTTGCCCATAAAAAGTGCATAGATACCTATAGGATATAATTGCCTGGCAGTTTCAAAATATTTGTCCTACCGATATTAAGCATAGGTTGCATGGAAAAAGTGCAGCTTAAGCTGGCGTATAATTTGAATACAAGACTAGAAAATCAGCTTAGTAGTTGGCAAATTGCAAGATACAATGACACAGAAAGTTTGTGTGATTTAGATTTTAACGTAGCTTTAACTATGTTTCAGTGATATCGACTACATTATCTGCAGTGTGACATATTATAGTAACGTCTGGCACTGGGGTATCATGCCGCAAACATGTAGCATCATGTCCCACCAAGTCACATTATCCTGACACCAGGCCGACCAGTTCTAACACAAATCTCTTAATGCTAAGCGCCAAGCGAGGCAGCTGTTAGCACCATTTTTTAAAGTCTGTGGTATACCTCAGCCGGTTTTCGAACCCGCGACCTCCCGCATAGGAGCCGTACGCTCTAACCACTAGGCCACCGGAGCGGTATATTATGACAGAAGGAAAGTAGATCTAAGCACTTGAAAGCAGCCATTTACAGCCTGCTTCAATGACGAATAGAAAGTTCATGACTAAAATTATGAATGTAGCACTAGCAACCAGCCATTTACAATAACAGAAGGAAAGTTGCACTTGCAAACTGCAACATACAATATGCATCAATGGAGAATACAATATACATTGATAAAATTATGTAAGTAGCACTTGCAAGCATCCATTTACAATAATGCATCAAGGACGATTATAAAATACACGCATAGAATTATGGCGGTAATTCCCTTCCATTGAAATCGTCATATCTCAGTCAAATCTAATATAGCACGGCAATTATAAGTACGCGAATGCGTAGAACTGATGGGAACGTTTGCATCGCCATGTCGCTCGAATGTTTGAAACCTTATCATGGAGTACCGATTGATCAGATCCATTTTAAATCTGCCGGGTGACAACGACATTGATTAAGTCAACGATTATGTGCTGTTATTGCAACAGAAGGGCAGTGAGCCACGCTTATATTTCATTACACAGACAGTAATAATTATTTATAGGTGTGCGTTGCTAGGTACCAGTTCAGTACTTGACTCATTTTAAAAAGCTCAATTTTCAAATGCTTCAGTCGGAAATGAGATTGAATTCCCACTCGATTTCTATTCAATCCACCACCCCTTGGGGCACGAATAATCTCACCCAATCAAATAAATTGTTCCGAATAAATTCTTATTTGGGTCAGTGAAAAAGCATATTAATGGTTAGTTAAAAAGGACACCCCAACCCCACAATAAAGAAAAACAAGGAAAAACAACAACAGCAGCAACAACAGCAACAAAAACTTTTCTACATCTTCGACAAATGTCAGATTTCAATACATAAATAGTTTCAGCATAATTAGCGAACAAAATGCTAGAAACTAAAAATTTGAAAAGCATACAATATTTTAGAGAGAAAATTTTGTTGTAATAATCAATTATATTTATTAGCAAAGAAAATAAGAGAGTTCAACTATCCGTAAATGCGCTACCGATGGAACATTACACGTGATTCCTGGAAAACGTGAACTTAGTCTTTTGCAACGAATCCTTCTGTTTGACTGGAGGAAAGATGTGTCCTCTTGCCTTGCACGAGAAAGAAGAAGTACAGTCACTCATTCGTTTCCTCTTCTAAATACAAATACCTATCATATCTTCTGGGCAGAAGGATTTATAAAATTAGATTTATACCAAAAAAGTACGATTAACGTTCAGCATTACGATGATATGGAATTTTTTGTATTGACAAATTAAGACTAATAACGCGGCATATTTTTAAAAAAATATAAACAAAAGTAATAATATTATAAAAACACTGATCCAGTTAAAAATATCATTTTCTTATTTCCAGTATTAACAGCGAAATTAGCAAGCTATCACACTTTCTAGAATCATATTATCATCTAGGTGTCTAAGAGAAAATCTCGTAACTTATTCCTTCAGTTTGACATTTGTCAAAAGGATTATGAAAAACTTGGATAAAATCGATATGTTATTGTGTATTTTAGCAATATAAAGAATGAGAAAAAGATACTGGTTCCTCTCGCTCCTTTCGTCAAGCAATTGTGGGATCATGTATTATTCCTTTGAGGTCTTTTAGTACTTATGCCTTTGGTGGCCTGCTTAGTTAATTATTTCAAATAGCACGCAAACTAGATGATCCCGAGTGTTCACAGTATTAGAACCAGATTATCCCGGGTGTTCACATTATTAAAGCCAGATGATTCCGAGTGTTCATAATATTAGACCAATATGATTCCGAGTGTTCACAGTATTAGAACCAGATAATTCCGAGTGTTCACAGTATTAGAACCATATGATTCCGGGTGTTCACAGTATTGGAACCAGATAATTCCGAGTGTTCACAGTATTGAAACCAGATGATTCCGAGTGTTCACAGTATTGAAACCAGATGATTCCGGGTGTTCACAGTATTGAAACCAGATGATTCCGGGTGTTCATAGTATTGAAACCAGATGATTCCGAGTGTTCACAGTATTGAAACCAGATGATTCCGAGTGTTCACAGTATTGAAACCAGATGATTCTGGGTGTTCACAGTATTGAAACCAGATGATTCCGAGTGTACACGGTATTGAAACCAGATGATTCCGGGTGTTCACAGTATTAGAACCAAATGATTACGAGTGTTCATAGTATTAGAACCAGATGGAGAAGATAGGAGTACACCAATATTGTTTTCACCTTCCGGTAAACGGGCCCTAACTCACATGATAAAGCTAAAGATACTTATTATTTTAGAGTCGGGTCGAGGATTTATAAGTTGTTACATGTATTGCTTGAAAATGAAGATAATTTTACCACACTTAGGTTTGAGGTGGACAGATATATTGCATCAAAATGTTGCTAATATAGTTTGCAGATATGCAATATTTTCCCCACAGAAACCACTAAATTTGAAGCTAAGATTTTTTTCATCACAATTAAACAGAATTTATCCTGCATATGGCAAATAAAACCATTTTGTCCCCTCCTAATTTGGTTCTATATGTATATATATATATATATATATATATATATATGTATATATATATATATATATATATATATATATATATATATATATATATATGTGTGTGTGTGTGTGTGCGTGCGTGTGTGTGTATGTGTGTATGTGTGTATATGTGTGTGTGAGTATAGTATATATGCTGTATCCATCATATATCACGAGAACAATTTTTCTTTAAACGGAAACGAAGTTTGCTGAGTTTCCTTTAAAAAAAAATTATACAATGGGTGGTATATCATTGATATAATGTACATACTGTACGTATATTTTATTTATATCACATACAAATAAGTATATTTGCCCTTTGAACAGGGATCAGATTTACTACAGGCAGCTATGTATTGACCTAGTGAATGAACTCACATCCCCGAATATGTCCGCTACAAAATGTAGTTCTATGCCTTTTGTGACTATTTACAATCACCTTTGTATATTGATAAGTTGATTGGTTTCCCTTTTTAGGTTTCCAATTTTCTCCACATTGATTCAATCATTATAATACACACTTGAGATTTAGACATGAAATATGGTTTTAAAAACAAAAATAGAGCACTATAAACACTTGGTTAGCTTCGCCATTCACATGAAAGCTAGGACCCATTCACCTTCCGGCTCCTGGAAATTAATGTGGAATAGGAACATAGAAAATAGAGACATCGTAGGATGACACAAACGAACAATCCTTTATGTTCGTCATTTCATAGATTTTAGCCCGTATCTTGTTACGATGGGCCAGAGAGAGAGAGAGAGAGAGAGAGAGAGAGAGAGAGAGAGAGAGAGAGAGAGAGAGAGAGAGAGAGAGAGAGAGAGAGGTGTTTTTGACATTTTCATGTTTATTTAATAATAATCGATTTTTACATCACAAGATGTTAAGAAACTACAATAAAAAAAAACATTAAATACATCACAGTAGGTGTACCACGTAACCGTGGAATTTACTGTATAATGGCGACTTGGTTTGCATCTTTGTATCATTGATGATACATTCCCAAGGAAAGTGCACACACATCGTTACGACGAACCATATTCTTGTAGGTTACATGCTTTAATTTCTATTTCAAGGTTTCAATCCACCCCAAATTCCTTTTCTCTTTCCCTCCACATTTATGCTTAATTTTCCGTTATGCATGAGAGTGGAGGAAGAACAAAACCCAGAAAGGATTGTGACGAAAAGGTATACCATATTAAATTCACTGAGAAAAATTGGATTATTAATACATTTTATCGTTATTTTCATCCGTCACTAATGATTAATGTGTGGAAATTAATCATTGATCTAGACTCAACTGCAGACGATCGCTAGATTGTTTATATATGCGTATTATTGCGCCATTGTCGGATCACAATTTGATATACTAATAGTGTTGTCTGTCTGTCTGTCTGTCTGTCTGTGTTGCTTCATAGAACATTTTATAGATTTGATATTTCAGAGGGGCTTTGTACATTACAGGCAAACTAGCCGTATTGCCAAAGAGGTTTAAAATGAATCCTTTCTCCGAAAAGCGAGTATGTTTATTTTTTTTAGAGTAATGCAGTGCAAATTCTGCTTAAAGTATCAGTACAGACACATAAGGCTTGAACTAATTACAGACAATTGCACCTCAACGCCATACTTTTTCTTTCTTGTTTATTCTCTCTCTCTGTCACGTTAAAGATTAAAAGAGACCTTTAAAAGAACTTTTGATACATGAATTTAATGACATCTGATTTCGACTAATTAAGTGGGTTGCTTGTTGCAATATAAAACTAGTTTAGTGAATTATCTATGGTATGTGTGTGTGTTTGTTTGTATGTGTGTGTATGTGTGTGTGTGTGAGAGAGAGAGAGAGAGAGAGAGAGAGAGAGAGAGAGAGAGAGAGAGAGAGAGAGAGAGAGAGAGAGAGAGAGAGAGAGAGTACACTACAGTGACGAGGATTCTGTTCTCTCACACCTATGCAATTTATTTTCTGGTAATCTGCAGTATACAGTGGCAGTTTCCTTTTATAACAAGGACATGACATGCAAAGCATATGCTGTAACATAGCTCTATGCTACAAAATATACACATTCTAAAAAAAATATGGACATTTTTTTATTACATAAGACAATAAATTCTAACACTATCAAATATATTTTCTATATCAAAATATAAAGAACCTTTCTGAACAATTATGAGATGCTTTATTGCCACAGATATCAAACTGGAAACTATATTTTTATATTATTTAAAATCGTATTCATCAATATATAAAGCTATATTTATAAAAAAAAGACAAGATGATTGATTATAAGGTACTTCACTGACAAAACATCATACTCCTTTGGTAGCAATTATAAAAATATAATATATTGACTATAAACAACGTTGCTACCGCCACCAGCAATTATTTCAATTACATTACTACCGCTACAATACAGTACCAAACTTGCTTGATATATTTGGATATGAA